TCAGGGCTTTACCCGACTGTCACATTTCCTTAAAGACCTGTCCTAATCACCCTCTGGCAATTGCAGCCCCCCCTACACAGTTCCCCTATCCTGTAGTCAATGTTTCTCCTCAGCAATTCTCATCATATAATAAACATCACTTATTTTTTGTGTCCCACTAAGCAGCAGCAAGGACTTCTGTCTCACCCACTGAAGTACCTACTGCCATCTGGCACCTAGTAGGTGTTTAATGCGCATTTGTTGAGTGAATGACTTCAGGAGGCTACAGGACAGGAGAGCATAGATGCAGTTTAAAAACCAAAGATTAAACCAGAAGCTGTGCAGACCCTGGCCCCAGGCTGGAATCTCAGGTCAGATCAACAGGCCCCAGATGGAAATCTCAACATCACGTCACCTCATGGGCCAGCGCCTGTGTGGGGCCAGCACAGTCCAGTCCTGCTCCTGGACAGCTGTCTCAAAGCACTGCCTCATCACCATGCCAGGAGCCGCTGGTCAGTGTTTCTTACAGTTATCATGTAAGTTCAGAAGTTCTTTTCTGAGGCCTTAAGATGAGGGTAACTGCTATATGAATACCTCCTGTCTTTTCCCCTCTGAATTCACTCAAGTCATAACCGTTATATGCTAGCCTGCATCCTGCCCAGCCGGTCACACTGCATCATACCGGAAGGGAGCAGAAGCGGCCAACAGAAATATGGGGTAGCAGCAGATGGACAGAACGCTTTACTCTGACAGAAGCAGTCTCAGGAAATGGTGCAAAGAATACTTAGCCTCAGAATTCTGTCTTTGAGAAAAGGAGAAGAAAAAAAGACAAAAAAGGAAACCTAGATAACAATCCCCCATAAAGAACATCACTATGTGCAAACACATGAGTCCTCTGCTACATTCACTCCTGTGAGTCACTCCCACAGTCATCTCAGGCGGGCGAGGACAGGCTTCTGAAATGAGTGGTGACTTCATGTCCCCTGAGAGGGCGGGTTTCTGAAGGCCGGGAAATGTTTCAGTCTCTTTTTAGGCTAATCTGAAGAGATTTCCAATTAGACACTGACCTGGAGCAGAAACATTCCACTTCCCATCTCCCGACCCTGCCCACCCTGCCGCTATCTCTTTTTCCCTATTCATACTACCCAGAGGCTGCTTTGTGATTCCAAGTGTCCCAGGCTCAGGTAGCAAACACATCCAGGAGGAAGCTCTAGAGAAAGGACATGTGGAACTGTGCAGGCCAGGCCTGCTGGTGGAGAGCCACTTTCACCCTGCAGCTGAGATGACAAAAGCCACCGAAGGCCTAAATCACGCCATAGGGACGAATTGGCATTTCAGAGCCTGTAGCATAAAGAGCAACTGTCCTCCAAGTGAAACCTCTGCACTGGGCTTCTGGCCGGGCATGGCATGCGATTCTGAGGTCCACATGAGTTGGAGCTGAGGGAATAATATGTCCAAAGGAGAGATTCCAACAGCTGGGCCTGCGGGCAAGTGCTTGCCAACAGCCTTGAGCACTTAATAATGCTGGGAACTGCTTACTGGTGGGAAGCTGAGAAGCATCGAACTGAGCATTTAGACCTTCTTAGGCCCTGGCTCCTGAGCCCAGCACAGCAGCCCGAAGCCCACCCTAGTGAACAGCAGTAATCCCAGCAGGTGCCGGCGGCAGCCACAGAGTGTCCAGAGAGAGCACGTCCTCAACACATAGCGGGGTTTCCCCAAGCTGCTAGTCCTGAGCCTGAGCTAGCACCTGGTGCCCCATAAGGCAGTAGAAAATTCAGTTTTGCATCTCGGAATCCTGTCAACTGGAACAAATCCTCCAGCAGAGCTGGAAGCTTCTCCTCAAGGGCAATCCCTGATTGCCTTAGGCAGACAATGCCCTTGAGTTAGTAAAAGCCTGGGTGTTTACCCTCTTTGTTCACCTTTCCACCCAGTATCAACAGATAACTTAGGAAAAAGACAGCCCTCTCCCACCTCAAGGTCTCCTAGGAGAGTGTGGTTAATAAAATAATAATAATAAATAAATAAAAGATATAATCAGCAAAAGGAAGAGCTTCTTAGGAGAAAGAGACTTTTAACTACACTTTAGAAATATAAAGATCAAAGTGCTGGCTTAACGAAGGAAGAAATAGAGAGGAAGAGCTTCTTTTCCCTCCTACAACAGGTCTAGCAGTCACACAGGAACTGCACATGTATCCAAAACAAAAGCAAAGTAAAACACCAACAAATACAGTCCATGAGGATACCCTTTCTCAGCCCAGCTTGTCTTGGTTTGGTCCAGCATGTAGGCCAAATGCTCCTGGCTTAGAGCTTGCTGGGAAGTTCACAAATCCAGTTAAGCCACCCAGAGACACTCCAGACTTACCACCCAGTAAACTCATAAAGTACCAGAGAGTCTCCAAATAATAAGACTCCAAATCTGTAGTCTACAAGGTTCAAGAATGGCCCATGCAACTGTTAAAACTCAGGTGTTCACATCACTGTATCTCTAAACATTCCAACACTCTACACACCCTGGAAGGCAATATTTCTGTCTTCCACTCCCACCAAAATAATTCCTAAATTTTTCAATCTCTGAGAACGAGGCTTTCATTTTGTGTACATAGACAACAGAAGGGGCGAAATGCACTTTGGAACAATTCCATCATAGGAAAGGGGTGAGCCAGGTCTGGATGTTTTCGGGCCCCAAGCCAATACTAGGTTCTATTTGTTGGCTGCAACAAGCTTCAAACATCTTCACAGGCACCCTGGCGAGGCAATACTTGCTTAATGCAAACTGGGGAATTAGCACATACCTCTGCAAAGACCTGTTCAGGCTACAAGGGGCCATGAGACTTCTCCAAAAGGCTATTAACCACTGGAAGAAGTAGGACGTTCCAGGTCAAAGTGTTAAAATGAACTACCCTGGCCCTCCCTGGATGTACAACAGGTAGGGACACAGCACTGCATGCTAGCTACAGCCACTTCAGTGCAAGTTCGATCTCCAGCCCAGGAGGAGAACCACATGACGCAGAAGTCTCCTGTCTCCCCGCGGTTCCCCTCAGCAGTGTACTTTGTCAATCTGCCTGTTCTGCTCCCCGTTGTCTCTGGTGAAGCCTCTCACACCGCCTCCCCCCAAACACACACCTCTGGCCTATACCCCAGTTCTGCATGCATAAAAAGAAAAAAAAAATGAACTATCCTATTTATTCTTATGCCGTGAGGCTTCTTTACCCATATATTTGCCAAAATCTTACAGCTTCTTCTGTCCTCTGACAGGCCTCCAGAGGTCCAACCTTTAATAGAATCAGAGAAAAAAGACAGCAAGCCTAGGTGCTATCAACAGTGATGGCAATCTCTCCTCCTGAGAGCCAGCTCTTCCTACTGTAGTCAGGTGAGGATCTGATTATGGATGATATCTACTTGGGTCTTCTTGGCAGTGAGACTGGCTTTAGTAATCTAGCTCAGGGAATTCATAATTATGTCAGACCAGCTTTCCCCCACCCGTGTTGCTTTCTAACTTATCAACTGCCCCAGCCAATTTGAATCCAAAAGGTACTAATGCCTGTTAGAAGCCACTAGAACACTGCCATCAGCCCAGTTGGTAGGCTGTCTGACAGATTTGCCCCTTTGTTGCACAAAAGAATTTAAAGCAAGACAAGATATTGAAGCAGGCAACAGGGTTCTTAGTGTTATAATCAAAATTACTCCTATGGTATGAATTCCACCATCATTCTCTTTACAGCCTCTCTGAGCCAGCCAACACCCAAAATACCAACAATTAACCCCACAAACTGTAACCTTCAATGCCTGGGTGTGGGTGGTGGGGTCTAGCATGCAAGTTTTATACAGTACATACCCGTGTACCTTCAAACGTCACCACCCTTCCATCTGCAGTGAAACTGGTGTAATGGGGGCCCATGACCAATTCAAGGCTGAAAAAAAGACCTACTGGCCCCGCCCTTTCTCCAGAAAACAACAAATAAATGAGCAAGAAGTAACCCCTGGAGAAAAAAACTTCAGGAGAATGTATACTGAGAAAAGCCACCCTGATTCACTGTGTAGACATATTAAGAAACAACTGTGTGTTAGAATGACAGTATGTTGGGATCAAAACCGAGGAATGGAAGGATAGGTTGCTCAGTTGCCCAGAGGACAAGACAGTTCCTTCTGCAAAAAAAAACTAGAAAGCCACTGGTATCGTGAGCCAAGAAGTAAGGGTAGGAGGCTGAAAACCAGAAGTATCTATTTTGTTTAATTTCTTTGGTCATTCCGTAGGTCTGCTTGCCCTGGCCTTTGGGATTCTGCAGTCCCTCCCACTCGTCGTCAGGTTGGGATCTCTGTCCACAATTTCAAAGTCTCACAATTCAGACAAGAGTTCGCAGATATCTACAGAGGCTGACGGACCCAAGGGAACACATTAGAAAGCACGTTTAGCCCACTCTGCAGTCAAAGGCAAGGCCGTCTGCCCGAGGCGTGCGCTCCTGTCCAGACACCATTTCTCGGCTGGGACACATCGGCAACCAGGTTGGCTCCTGCCCAGCAGTGCCCATGTGCTTGGCGCCAACCGAGTTTCCAGCATTCCCTTGCCCCTCCGCACTCTCCCGGAGCGCCCTGAATCGCTGGAGGGAGAGAGCAGGAGGGTCCCCACTCATAAAGCGAGCACGAGGGACGTCAGCCTCCGACCTGAAGCCAACCCAGGTACTATCCACGGGTGGGTCAGGACCTAGCGGAGGGGATACCGGACCCGCCCGGGGTGCCCGCTCCTCTCGCCAGCCCCCGGAAGCGCCGCCCTCCAGCCCAAAGGGCTCCGAGGGGGCGGGGAGTCGAACGCCCCCTTCCGGGTGCCTCCGCCCGGCTGGCCAGCCCCGCTCCTCCTCCGGGCGGGAATCCTCCCTCCCCCGCCCCTCCCGGAGTCGGGCCCCGGCGCCAGGCCCGGCCCCAGGGGGGAACCCCCGGTCCCGGCTCCCCCTCCCTGCGGCCTCTGCCCATCTTCCCGGCCCTTGGGGGCCGGGAAGACCCCGCCGGCAGCGGCCGGGACCCACCGCTCATTACGACATCTTCCTCCCTGGCCTCCGCCGCCTCCGCCGCCACCGAGAGCCTGACACCGCCCGCCTAGTACCCGCCAATCCCGGAGCCCGCCACCGCCCGAGCGACGGCAGCGTTCCCCAATAAGAGTTCGGTACATTGAGGACCGACAGCACTATTAACCAATCAAAGACAGGCATCTAGAGCGACGTAGGTTTGGCCAATAAACCTGTGAAATGTCACTGATGGACGGTAGAGGGCACCAACCGAAAGCCTATGGAAATATGAACGACATGTTCCTCAGCCAACTGGCGGGAGGCGGGGTTCCGCCCACTAGCTGGTTGATGGACAGCAACAGGAAGCTGGATAGGGAGGGGCTTAGCTGAGGGGTAGTTTGGTATTGGCGGTGGTTGACCTTCCACCCACCTCTAACCCAGAGGATGAGTGATAGATCTGCCCTAAAGCCAATCAGAAGTCCTTAGGGTGAGGCGGAGAAATGCCCTATAAATAGCATATACATTGCGCTCAATCCAGTCGCCCTAGTGTGGTTGTGGCCTCCAGATCTTGGGCTTCTCAACCCTTGCCTGGTGAGTGAAAAGCCACGAGCCTTTTACCTAGTTCCTCACTCTCCATCACTTCGGGAGAGCGAGGTGATCCAGCCCCCTTATGATGTTATGCAGCGCGGAGTTGGAGTGCGCCCAGTGCTACAAAATAACGGGAGTACGGAGTGGGAGACATTACTTTCACTGCCTCCGTCCAAAAGCTCGGTGGATGCACACCTGATTATTGCAGTCACCCCACCACTCCGCTCCTAGTGATGGTCCCCTAACGTGGGCACCAGGATCGTCCGAATTGCCTAAAAGTAGATTCCCGGGACCAATCCCGTCGGGGTTTCCGCGGCACGCCTGCAATGTGCGCTCTAACAGCGTCTCCCGCGGACAGAGTGGGTCTGCCACTCACCTCCTTGAAAGTGGTGCTGTGAGCAAAGCCCTTGGCAGGCCTACCCGAGAGGGTAGCTCTCCCTGATCTTTCCTGGAGACATAACTTGGGAAGGCTGCCCAGCACAGTGAGCAGGAATCCACCCTGGCTTCAGACCAGCCTGCGTAGGACACTTCCGCATCCCACATACAGAGAGCGAGGCTGCTGGAGCTGCGCGCCTTGTGGCCTCTGTAAATGAGGCTAGCGACACCACTGCGCCTTAAAGCTGTGTCTTTTTTCTTTTTTTTTTTTTTAACCACAACCCCCTGAAATACATTTGCATCTGGCCTGGTACAAATGCGCCTTGACTTACGAGGGCTTATCTCCTGATAAACCCATTGTAAGTTGAAAATAACATTCCGTGCAAAATGTATTTAAAGCACCCAACCTACTGAATTTAATAACTTACTGAGCTTAACAACATAAAGTATACAGAACATTTACATTAGCCTACAATGAGACAACTGTATCTTGCATTTCCATCACCAGAAGCAGGAAACACAGATGGTCTGTGAAAACACAATATCCAAAACCACTGGCAACATAGTACACTGTAGTGTAGGGGTTCCCGAGGTGACTGGGATTGCTACTGCTAGCACAAGAGAGTTGCACACTGCTAGCCTAGAGAAAAGATCAAAACCCACAATTCTAAGAATGGGTCCACCATCACTTTTGCACTACGGTAAAGTCTACAGTGAGCTGACCTCAAACCAGAACACTGTGGGAAAGCATAAGTCTTGCCAATCTGTACACTTAAAGGTCGGTGAGCAGGAATAACAAAGTTTCAGAGAATAGTCCTTACTCTCAGTACCTGTAATGTTGTGATATTTTCTATCAATCCTATCTTATTCTCCCCCTCTTTCCTCCTTTCTTTCTGAAAGTCATTGTCATAAAGGTTTGGTGTGACAAAATAATGAAAAATGCAGAACAGGGTGCCCTGTACACAGCAATTGTTAAATAAATATTAATCATCTCTTCTAGTCTGCTCCTCTCAGTCTTAGCCTTTAAAACACAGACTTTCAAAATAATTAAATAAATAAAAACCAAGACTTGGGCCTTTCCTGGTGGTGCAGTGGGTTGAAGTGCAGCACTATGATGTTGTCCACAGCCACTGCAGCTTGAGTTTGATCCCTGGCCAGGGAGCTGACCCACATGGCGTGGCAGACCTCTCTTGTCTCACCTGCTGCGTCCCTCAGCAGTGTATTTCAGTAGATCTGCCTGTTTTGCTCCCCACTCTGACTCTGGTGAATCCTCTCACCTCCTCCCCACCTCTGGCCAGTCCCCAGTTCTTGTATGCATAAATAAATAAATCTTTAAAAATAACCCAGACTTTAGAAGATGTCACTCCCTCGTTAAGACCTTTCATTAATTCCCTACACTCTTCTGGAGAAAAAGCCCAAACTCATTTCTAGGCATACACTGTCCTTCCTTCACACTCTAGTGCATCATATCAAGCTTCATCTCCTCCCTCCACCCAATTCCCTTCCTACAAATCCCTTTTGCCTCAGAGAAAGAGTCCACCATTCTTAAATACATATGGTTCTCTGTATTCCCCCTTCTTTCTCCTAGCAAACTCCTACGCATCCTTCGAGGCCCTGTTCAGAATCTGAAAACTAAAACTATTGCCCAGCCCTAGCTTTTCACTGCCCTGGACTGTTATCACATGCAAAAGGCTTCACTTGCTCAAGCTGCATCACATATTTTGTTTTCATTTCTGACTCCCCTGCTAGAGCTGTAGAGGCAGGATTGAGTTCCTTACACAAACTAAGAGCAGGAAATGGACTCTGAGGTCAAGAATGAATATTTGCATATAATTGTATGCAAATACATGTGCCTTGTTTATATAGACCATACATTCTGTTCCCAGGCTACTTTTCAAGTTAAGATTGCTTCACTGTCAAAACTGAGGACTCCACCCGGGCTCAGTGACTCAATTGTCAGGGTGCAGGGATTGGGGGTGGGGGTGGGATCGAATATTCTTGCTGGGCCACTGACAAACCTCTTATGTGATGGAATCTGGGGGCAGCTGTGCTCCTACCCCAAAAGACCAATCATAAGGACAGCGGAAGTGGGAAAAAAAAGTGTGTGTGTGTGTGTGTGTGTGTGTGTGTTTGGGGCGTGGCGGGGAGATAGGGTGTGAAAACTTAGAAGAATTTGGCAGCAATTCTGAATTACTAAATGGTTATTCCCTTTTATAGGCCACCATTTTCTAGTTAGTTTTTTCTTTATTTTTAGGCTATTTAACTCCTTTCTTACCAGAGGTACAGCTGAGGAAAGGGATGTTTTCTAAGAGAAGGAACCCCCTTATATCTCTGTCAGGAGAATTAAGCCATTGAGTCTCATTTACAGCCCCCTAAAATCACCTCACAATTTCTAGAGACAATTTCAAGATGGTCCCTTCCTCAATAGAGAAGAAGTAGGCAGAGTGTTCAACCTCCTAATGCCTGCTTTCTCTTTGACTGAACCTTATACACCCTAGAGAACTTTTTAGTAAAATCTGAAGTCTGAGTCCCACCCTAGGCAAAAGAAGTCATCATCTCTGAGGTTGGGACCCACAAATGGTATTAAGAATCTCAAGTGAAGGCCTCACCTGGGCTATAACTGGTGGCTCAGGGGCTAATGACACAGCACTATGAAGCTGTCCGCAGCCACTGCAGCATGAGTTCGATCCCCAGCCAGGGAGCTGACCCACATGGCACAACAGACCTCTCCTGTCCTGCCTGCTGCTCCTCTCAGCAGTGTATTTCAGATATGCCTGTTCTGCCCCCTACTCTGTCTCTGGTGAATCCTCTCACCACCCCTACACCTCTGGCCTGTACCCCAGTTCTTATATGCATAAATAAATCTTTAAAAAAAAAAAAAGAATCTCGGGTAAGCCCAGTGGAAGAAGGCCAAAGGAAGAATTGAGAACCACCCCTAGCCCTAGGGTACCCAAGTAAAATACAGTCGGTCCCCTCCATCCTACCCACTCCTGTCCCTACCCTCTTCCCTGCCCACCTACCTGCCTCCTTTCCTGGAGTCGGAGCTGACAGGTGGTTCCAGCTGTGTCTCAGGATGAATCAGGGGAGACGGGATCTCTTCCCCCCGGTGCAGCTGGGAGCAGGTTTGCTCTCAGCATTATTTCTCTTGTTCTCACAGTGCTTTCAGCCTCTCCCTGCTCCTAATGTGGCACGTCCTCCCCATTTCTCATCTATAAAGGGACCCACTCCTCACATTTTACCTAAGAGCTCCGTGTTTGCCTTGCTTACCTCTGCACCTTCCTCTCCTGGCACATTGCTGAATGTATAGCAGGTGCACAGCAAATGTTTGTTGACTGACTATCTCCTTTTAATACTTTCCACGGACTTATCTGCCTCTCTTCCAGGTCCAGCTTCCTCCACCTCCATTTCACATCTCCTTCCCTGTCTGCCTCTTAACCGCTTTCCCTCTTCATTTTTGTATTTCCTGCTTCTTGGCCTTTCCTTCCGCATGTGGCTGCTGCGCCTCACTCCCTGGTCTGCAGAATGAGCCTCTATCCCAGGGGATGCTGAGGCTAAAGGGGGGAGGCAGAAGCTCTCAAGTCCTTCTTGGACTTCCTCTGAAAGGACCATGGTGCAGCCGGTGCTGGATGTCCAGGAGTTACGTGTGTCCCAGCCCTGGGCGACCTGGGTGGGGGTCCTTACCTGGACCCGCCCCGCTTTGTTGTTGCTAACATTAAAGAGTACAGCAAACTCAGCCTTCTAAAGGCTGTTGCTTCTGCCCCAAGGGTCTCCAGTGGCCTCTACTTCTCTTTTCCCTCCCATGGTTTTCTACTGTGTTCTAGTCTCTTCTCTGCCCACCTGTGGAGATATCACTTACAGACTTTCCAAACCATCCCTGATCCTATTAGATTCCCAGAGAAAGATCTGATGGAACAGACACCCAATTGAAATGAATCATAGTTATTGGTTTTGTTGTTTTTTTTTTTTTTCTTTTTTTCCCTCTAGGTCCATCTAGTTACTCAATCATCCAGGTTTCTTCAGTCTTCTATGAACATGAAAGACTGGCAGAGGCTATAAAATGTATCTCCCTGGTATACTTTGGCAGCTACCCCACTTTGCACCCCAAACACACACACATGGCCACCCCTCATTCTGCACTGCACTGCCCGGGACGCCACCTGACCCACGCCCCAACTCATCACCCCTCTGCCTGCCCTTGGAGC